CATGGTATTTGTAGTAACACTGTCTCACTGCCCTGAGGCACTTTTTAACAACAAAGAAAAGTCTGGCTTTCAGAGTATCCAGAGATGTTTCTTTTTTTTCAAAGAAAACACACACACATTCACACACTTGCTCTCAGTGCAGCTCTCCTCGGCAGTAACCTAAGGCAGTGGAAGGCAGCCATGATTTAAGGCCACTAATTAAGTTGCTAACTGTGAATCTATCGCAATTCACATTTTCTCTGTGCCCGGAGGAGGAGAAGTACAATAGCTTTTAAGACAGTGAGGAAGAAATGTTGAGGGAAGAAAACAGGAGGACAACTGAGGTCAGGGCATGCATGAGCAGGAGGGCAGTGAAAGGGTTGGCATAAGGAACAAAAAATTGGGCCAAAATATAGGCTTCCTCCAAACACACAGAACAAATGAATTGGAGGAGTGCTTTCTAACATAATACTAGAGGAGCGTGAAAGGGCACTTCCTAGTGTGACATGGTAATTTATGGAGATGGAATGGCTTTTCTGTTTTTCCAGGTTACTGCTTGGCACCACAGAATTAAAATCACTGTTGTTGGCACTGCAAAATGGACTGGAGGGTATAAAACTAGCCGACTACGATTTGTCATTTCACAGCTGGCCAAGAAATGGCTACGGGTGTGAGAGGTTGAATAATAAGAAGATTGGACAGCCAAGACAGTACAAACAAGATCGACAAGACACCAAGAGGACTGGAATCTGTTGTCCAGATGCAAACCCTCATAATTCAGAGTGGCATCAATCTGTATGACCTAGTTTTCTTTTTAGGTCGAGGCTTTGGATCCATATTTGTTGCATGCGCCCCTTGGTTTTATTTCTTTTGGCTGGACAGCAAGGCTGCACGATGTAGAGAAAGCATGTGATGTCAGATTATCTCGATGGACATTTTCACTTAAATTGTTGAGTCGTCCAACTGTGACAGAGATGCACATGTTAACTTGTCAGCTGTGTCTCCTGATGGTAATCAGATGCCCCAGTGTTTTTAAACTGTAGGTCTCTTTACAACAACTAGCTCAACTGTCTTGCATCCCACTTTAGCTCTTAGGTAGTGTTAGGTAGCTTTTACAAACATAGAAATTTGACAGCTGTAGAGATTGAGTTAATTCTTGACCTCGGAAACGTTGACAGAACAATCTTGTATCTTCTTCCTCAGTAGATGGAGTTTTTGCCCAGTTGTCTTGATGTCAAAGTAATGTTAATGTAATGTCAAACAGAATGAAACTTAGGCTTTGCAATTTAATTAAAATCTATTAGCATGGACTCCTATTAGCCAAACAAACTGCATCATATCAGTCTTGTCAGAGGTGCATGATGCTGTCTGATCTTTTAATGAAAGTGTAATATCAGCTCTGATACATTGTTCTAAGCTTAGCGTAATCTCTAAAAAGTCCTTTAGTTCTAGGTCACAGTAACATTTAATTAACGTATCCAATCTAGTTTGCAAAGAGAATTACTGAATGTTTTTCAGTGTGTTTGGTATAAAGCCTGATTCATCAGCATGTGATGATGATGAGTGAGACTCCTCTCTCTGCCTCCTTATAGTGAATTGAATTCATCAAACTGAGACTTTTTATCCAGCCAGCTTTTGATATGAATCTTCATACCCCTGACTGTTGTGAAAATTAAGCCAGCTGAGATCTCAAAAAACAGTCAACAGGAGAAATACATTACCACCTTACAGTAGATATCATTGCTAGATGAAATCTACAAATTGGGATGGAAGGCGGTGGAGGCTTAAGGTAAGGATGTATTCTCAAACCACTTGTGTGGTATTACAGTAGTGTATATTCTACATTATTGCGGTCAAAACCAAACAATGTTTTTATAGCCTAGAGCTTGTTATAAGTCTCATTACATCACATGTGAGATGAGGGATGTAGAACGTGCTAGTTGGTAACAGTGCTCTGGAATCTGGGCCACCAGGACATCTGCATCAGTAGTCAAACACAACAGCGGACTCCCATCAGATGGACTAATACAGTTGTATTGTGCTGTATGCCAATGGATGAAAGCCAGTTTCCAATCCCAGTATGGGAAGTGACTGAAACAACAATGAGTTTCCATCAGAAAACGGGCATGAATGCCTCTCAGGAAACAGGTTCATTTTGCCCAAAATGGAGCAGAGGCAGCTCCCTGACACAATGTTTTAATTGGGTTTACTGGAATTAATCATTCATTATTTCAATCACAGTTCAGTCACTGTGAGCTGTTACTGCAAGCAGTGCAATGAGGAGCCAGACTAATCGATTAATTCTATTTAAAACTCAGCCTCATCTCTCAGGCAGTGATGTTTGTTGGTTAGTGTCCATTTGGTTTCTTCACCAGCCTCTGCCTGCTGTCATTTGTGTTTTGTAGTAATGAGTGTTCGACTCTCTTAGATGTTGTTTATACTGTACAAGAATAATTGGGACGTCGCAGACAGAAGTTCAAAGGGATTTTTTAAATTCATTTGAATGCAACTTATTTACTAATGTTACCATTAGAGCTGTTTAGACAGTCGCTTTACAAAATCTGCCAACAGATTAATATTTATCCATAGTTTTGCAATCTATGGTGTAGAACGCACATTAATAGATACATTGCTTCTCAGATACTATCATTGTCCATTCAACATGGCTCGCTAGTTTCTTCAATTTAACAGAAGAAAAAAATCCGTAGCCAAACCAATTCAGACAGCCTCTTGCATTTATGGACTGCAAATTTTGAATTTAAACACACTTTAAAAAGACACATTACTGATCCAGCAGTTAATATTTAATTTATTTCCAACTTTGACAAAACCATTTGAATTTGAAATTATTCACAGCAAGCCTGTGTAACTTTTTGTGACAATTGTAGGTCAATGATAAATGCAATCAAGTTATTTGACTCCGTGTCACCTTAAGCTACTGATCATACCAGACCAGACTCTCAAGGGTGAATTTTATTGCTTATGAAAGCAACTTTCATTTGTAAGAGCAGTGCTTTGATGTCTTTGAGTAAAAACCCAGTGTCGTATTTTGCCCCCAGTTGTTTAATAACCTTAATAGCTGTGATCAAACAAGTAGACTGGGTTTGACAGATCTTGTTTTTTAAAACTTCTTCATATTCTTATGTGTTCCAGCCAGCATTACAGATCTCAGTCTTAAATTCATCTTTCTGAATCTTGCTGACACCCTGGCCCAATAAAATATATTCCATAAACACCCTCATCTATCCGTCCCTAGTATCATACTTTATGTCTGCTCTTCATTGGTTTGTGTCTGTTGGGTTTATGCAGCAGCTTTTCCCCGCTGTCTTTTGTTTTGTTCTCCTTAACAGGAATTTAGTGTTTCTCCCAGCAGGGCTTTGGGAGGGATTCAGGGTAGACAGGGGTGAGTTGGAAAGGTGTGTTTTGGCCTCCCCACCTCCCCCTTATGCCAGGATAAGGGATTTATCGTTCATCACAGGGTTGATAAAAGGATTGAAAAAGATGGATAGACAGATCAAGTCTACAGGTGACTGAGGGGAAGTTGAGGTGTCGGTGAGAGTGTTATAAATAGATGTATGGAGATAGAGATAAAGGAAGAATGCTGTGTTCTTCTGGAAGTAGCTCAAACACTAAAACACAATATATATTTTGGATTTATGTTAACAGTAATATGTGAGCCATGTGATTATGCCTACATTAAACCTTTGCGCAGGTAATCGTTGACTTTAATGTCCTATTTTAATGGCTGCATCAGTCTAAAGCTAATAAACACACAACTAACTTAATCAGGATCTTCAGTGATGGGATTTTACCCTTACCAGTTGTGTTCTCTGACCCTGATCTGTGTCTCTGCTCGCTGCCGGATACTGCTGTGGTCCTTTCTGTGTTTGCTTGACTTGATTAAATCCATGGTGTAATGGGAAACAAATTATAGCGTGTGCAGCATGATGAGTTGAAGGGGTGATAATTAGTATGTTCATCCACCTCTTTGAAGAGAGATGTGCACATGGCACTTCTCCCAATCACACTCCTTCCCCTCCTTTTTCTCATTTGCTGGATGTCTCCTGTGTGTGCAGCTCATGTCCATGTGTCCACTTGTAGCTGCTGTAGTGCAGACATCTTGGTGTGTGTTTCACAGTGTAGTAAATTGTTAATATGTATTCATGAGTAGTTACTTGAAGCATTGCCACGAGAATCATCAGTCCTCGGCCTGGAAGTGATCTGTCAGTGGCTCTAATGATCCAACACACACACACACACTCTGTCGCCAGGTCTTGTCCTTGTCAAACACGCCAGGATTGGACTCGCATATGGCCTGAGAATAAAATGGCCTTCGAACGCAGCTTTATCATCTCTGCAGGCAACATCATGGGAGAAAGAGGGGTCCAACAGGTTTTGATTGACTGACAGACGGGCACCAGCAAGGATACGGTGTCCTGCCAAAGTCGTGTGTGCGGGGGAAAAAAAAATATAATGAATGCACCAATAAACATGACAGATGGAGTGTGAAGTTGTTTTTTTAGTGTCATTAATGTAACTCAGCTGGTATCCATTTTAAGAATCTATTTGTAAATGCCACAAAAGCAAAAGAGGACGAACATGAATGGCTTTCTAAAAAGAACATGTCATTTACAGGAAAATTTTTAGTTGTCTTTACAATTAAAGTAATACTGCTGAGTCACTAACAGTGTTAAGATGACTTTTTGAAGATTTATCGGCTCTTTTTAGCTGTCAGTTTAGTATAAAACAAGCAGGTTTTGCTGTGTGCTCATGAATGGCTTTTCTATGTGACTCATGTTGTGTTTTTGTCCACAAAGCACTGGGGTATTAGTAAGAAGTTAAAAAGAGTTAGGGTGGTTCTGCATGTGGCTGAAAAGAAGACTGATAATTGACTGAAATGCATAGACTTTTTCAAACATTATGCAGTTTTCAAATAGTCTCCTTTTATGAAACACATGTGTCTTTTTGTAGTTGTTTTTTAAAACGGAAACCTCTGTCCCCTGCTTTTTGTCTTTGTCCAGTGGTATTGGTAGAAACTGGCCCTGGGCATCAGGGGGCAGCAGCATCCTGGCAGAGTATGGCACCCTGCATCTGGAGTTCATGCACCTCAGCAAACTCTCAGGGAATCCTGAATTTGCACAGAAGGTAAGAGACACACATGAGAAAAGATAATAGTACTTTATTCACACTTAATCCCTGTGTTCACTTGGTTTCAACTTGCAGTGTTGCACTTTAGAAGGAATGTAAGTGAACTTGTTTTCAGGGAAGCAAAAATGAGGAAGGAATAAAAACTGCAGTGCAGACCAGACTCTTCATCATTTTACCTTATCCATCATACAGATATTGATTATGTCACATTTATAACAGTTTCTGTCTTGTGTTGCATAAAATCACTTTATGCACTGTATTTTCAGTGCAATGCACTTGCGGTGTTTGAAGTGAGCTTTACTTGTTGTTATGCCTTTGATCATTAGGTAATGAACATCCGGAAAGTACTGAATCGCCTGGACAAACCCCAGGGGCTGTACCCCAACTACCTGAACCCCAACAGCGGCCAGTGGGGCCAACGTAAGTCCTCCTCACGCTCCTATCACAAATGTTTGCAAATGTTCAGATCGGATTTGTGTATCCAGACATCACCAATCTCTCTGAATGGGTTGCTTTGGTAATGACATAGCCGTCAGTGACTACATGCGCTGGTCAGGCTGCTTTCCAACACGGAAGCATGAAAAATCTAGATCCATCATCTTCCTTCCATATTAGCGTTCGCGCTGTTCAGCCGCTCAAATGCACCTGCGTCACTCTGGATTTGACGTTGTCTTTGTGTATTGAATTGCGAGCGACACATTAATCCTATGTATTTACTGGTCTCAACACAGCCAACACATACTGTACACGAAGAAACACAATTGGAGAGTCACTCGACATCAGCTGAGCATGTACATTGTACATGTTGAATACATGAGCAGTGTCTTTTCTTCTAGGAAATAGATAACCCAGTTGTTGAGTCAAAACTGAGTCACATTAAAGCGGATTTAAGTTGTCAATGTCTTGGGATTCTCCTTAGAGATGCTTTTAATACAATTGACCATCCTTAATAACTGACAGTAAAAGTTGGTCCTTCACTGGTTAAAGAGATGCATAATATTTCTTGGGGTGTGCCTCAAGGATCCACCCTAGGGCTTGTCATTTTCTTGGTAGTTTGTACTTCTGCTTCTGCTTAATATTGCCTATCACTGTTACTGTAATATCAATCGGGCCAAATGCTTTCTGCCCTGTTGCCACACTTGTACATTTTTCCTACAGAGGAATAGAGATGCAACAGAGAGAGAAACAGATGGCAATTTCACACCTAAATACAGTGTCATTAAAATGAAAATCACAGGCAGGGATCCTTGAGTTAATAGTAACCTGGACTTTGAGGCTGATATCAGAAACATTAATATAATTTGCAATTATCACCAAGGTTAGACCTTTTCTTTCCCAAGATGACACTGAAACACTAATGCATGCAAATAATAACTTGCAATGGACTTTATGCTGACATTTCAATGAAAACTATTCCATACCTGTAATTTGTACCGACTTAAACCAGGAATGCACCTCTCATTCTGATATTTCATTGACTTCACTTGCTCCTGCTCAGATTCAGAATCGTAAGGATGTTTATTATTTTTAACTTGCCCCCAAAAATTGTACATATATGATCCTTTACCACAAGGTCTTGAGCTCCTAATAGATCTCAGATCCACTGACTTTTTTTTGTTAACTATACTGTGATCCAGATTAAAACCTTGTACGGTGAGTAGAACTGAAATTATAAATTGATGAATCAATTAGTTGATTGATGCAAACTTGATCCATAAGTATTTTGATAATGAATTTATGCCTTAAGTAATTTTATAAGCAAAAATGCCTAAAATTCACTGGGTCCAGCCTCTAAAATGTGAATCTTAGCTGGTTTTCTTCGTCTTCTATCAGTAAATTGGATTTCCTTTTGAATACATCAGTTTGATCTTTGGGAAATTGTGATGGAGATGTATACATTTAATTGACTAAACTGGATTAAATAATGAATTGAGAAATTATTTATTATTATTTAAAAATATTATGCTAGAAATGATATAATAATTAAGTAATTTTGTTTATTTATTTTCAGATTATTTTGTTTAACATGTTCTTGTCACTTTCATTCTGTCCACCCAGTTTTATTTATCTTTCTTTAAAAGATTGAATTGCATCCCTCTGGTTTTCAACCCTAGCAATAAATGAAAGCTAAAACATTAACATTTGTTTAATCTGTAGTTAGAAGTTTTTCACATAAAAGTGTAGTATTTCTTTTCATTTCAATTAAGTAATTGAAGCAAAACATTATTGCATTGCATTATTTTACATTGTTCTAGCAGTGGAGGCATCGCTGAACATGTGGTGCTGAATGGCTCTGGTGTCATGTCAACTGCTCTCACACCTTAGTCATTAACTCCACCCCAATTCCTATCTTTAACATCGGAGTGTGCACACGTGTCTGCATTTCTGCCAGGTTGTGGTAACGGTATAATTTTGAATCCATTATCACACTCTTCAAACCATTTAGTTGAACAGGTAATGATGATGGTGAGACTTTGAGGAAGAGGAGAAATTGAGGGGTGTTCAGGAAAAAAAGTTAACAAAGAAGAACATATGGAGACAGAAATAATACAGAAGTGATATAAGGTATAGTTTGGGAGAGGAATCCAGCGGTAAAAGCTTCTCCTAATGCCAGTTGTTATTTATCAGAGTAGAGTGGTAGCTGAGTAGATGTATTGAAAGGGATGCTGACAAGTGGTAGGAGAAAGGCTGGATATGAAAATCCATATTTCAACTCATTCTTAAAGCTGACTTAAGTGTTTCTTGACCACTAGAGAGAAGAAATTGGACTTCAGAAAAAACTTGCAGCGACAAGCTTCGACATAGCCACTCTTTAAAATTATTCTTATTCTATTCTTAAAGGAATAGTGTGACCTTTTTGGGAAATATTTACTTTCTTGCAGAAAGTTAAATGAGAAGATCATTATCTTGTCTGTAGCTACAGTCTGGAAGACAATGAGCTCATGTCATCACCAGCAGACTCCATGAAGTCACTGCTCCCAGACAAGAAATTAGCAAGTTTTAGAGAACTAAGTCTTTATGCAAAGCTAAGCTAACCATCTCATGACATTAGCCCTCATATAACACATATATAGACCAGTAGACAGAGTGGTATCGGAATTGTCAAGGGAGTGAAAGTGTTGTTGATCTTTTTTCGCAGGAGAATAAGCAGATTTCCCGAAATGTCAAAACTATTCCTTAAAAGTTTTAGCAAGCTAACAGCAACCAGTACAATCAACAGAGACAGAAGAGTTAATATTTTCTCATCACCTGTAAAGTGAAAATCCAGTTTTCTGTGGTGCTTTTCTCTAAAATATTTAGTGGGCAGTCCTACTAAATCGTGCCAGGAACTATGGAGTTCCAGGAACTAAACACATCATCAAGAACATCAGAAAAATTATGCTTTAGCCTGCTGTGTTTTCATTTCAGCCACCTACCAACAACCGCAGAGATTAGGCAAATTAGACCAATAATGGATTAAAAAGTGACTTTGTTTGAAACAGTAATTTGCATACAAAATAGTACAGAGGCATCATGTACTTTGTAATTGATTGTTGTGAGACTGTGGGGTTGGAATCAAGAGGAAAGAACACATGCAGAGGTGGAAAGGGAAACTGAAATCACCAGAAAAATCTCAAGTGTCTATGAAGTTGTTAGGATTTGCTGATTTGTTTATATATATATATATATATATATCTTTTTTCGCTGCCAGCTCATGAGCATTTCTGTGATATGAAATGGAATGAATGAAACTTGATTATTTTTCATGCTTAATGTCTTTAGTACCCATTTTACCATTTAAAGGTATCATGTTTTTTCAGTTCAGTCACTGTTCTACCTAAAATCAGGGCATATTTCTCTTGATTTCCACAAGAAAGTTGTGGCATTAAACTAAGTATCCTTTTATCTAGTTTTATTATTTAGTTTTTTAATCCACTCGTGCTTCAGAGTTTATTAGATTCCTGTCTAGGATTTTTTTTGATACCCTGCCCTTGATTTGGGTTGTTAGTGTCTGTCATGGTTAAATATGGACCTGCACTTCTGGTCTACTTACGTTTAATAGATGACACTCTTAACCTGAGCCAGCAACTTTGTTTTCATCCAAGTATTTTATGCTAATTATGACTTATTCAATTAGGAATGCAGAATAGAAACAGCAAGTTTCAACCGGGGGGGGGAGTCTTTTTATGCTTGTCTCAGTCAGTGAGGTTTTTTTTTTTTTTTCATCTGGAAAGAAATTATGCGTCAGTGATGGGAATGCATTTGTTGAATAAATTATGACCTCGGGATGTTTGCAGCCTAATGTTGTCTGAAAAATATCTCTCCAGCACAGCCTCACAGAAATGCCTTCCAGTACCAATGTCTGTTATATACAGTACATACATAGAAGACATATGTTTTGTAGGTTCGTTTTATCCGAACAGATGTAATGTTACCATGTGAAATGTTGAGTCATAGTTTCCTCCCCCTCTCTGCTTCAAAGTATGTATTTGAAATATGGTTGCACATGAATTCATAATCGCATTTCGTGACTTCTATAATGAGACAGTTGAAGTTTAGTTTGGCATATCTATTTTAAGCATGTGTCATCTGTCTCGATTGTGTGGCGCTCGTGTTCCTGGTTTAATTTCGTAGAAAGCCAGGTACTCTTATCGGCTCAAAACCAAACCATCTTCACCGCCAGCCCTCCTTTCTTTTCACTTCAAGATGATCACAGCTGACATTTAATCTCTGCGCTCCACAAACAGGGCCGGACTCTGTTAATGACACATACATATGGATGAGCCTTTACTGACAATCAGAAGGGCAAATACAAAAGTACAGCTCTGCTCGCTGGAGGCTCACCTGCAATAACAGCCCCTCACACACACACACACACACACACACACACACACAATACTGTAGTATATCGTAGACTGTATGTTGTCTTAATATTACACACATACATCTGGCCCTGTGTCATGTGAGGATGATGGATGGATAGGCCAACAGTTGTAATCTAAATGTGTGTGTTGCAGATCATGTGTCAGTGGGTGGCCTAGGTGACAGTTTTTATGAGTACCTGCTCAAGGCCTGGCTGATGTCTGACAAGACTGATGAGGAAGGCAAGAAGATGTACTACGATGCCCTGCAGGTAAAACACACTGCTGACAACACATGCACACCTGATATCTCTTCAGTAAGGGTTGAGGTGACTTTGACTCTTCAAGAATGAAACAGAAGGTGTAATTATTCTTAGTTGAAGTCATGAACTTCACTAGAGCTGCAACAATTACTTGACAGAGCAATTAGTCGATTGACAGAAAAGTAGTGTGTAACTATCTTGATTATCAATTAAGTATTTGAGTCATCTGTGAAGGTTCTGGGTCATCCATATCTAAAGAAGCTTAAAGTCAAGGACAACTGGACCAAGTCATTCTCTGTTTTATGTTATAGCAAAGTGAATACCTTGGGTTTTGAACTGTAAGTCAGACGTTTGAAGACACTCTGGGCTTTTAGAAAATTGTAATGGATATGTGTCACTATTTCATTTATTTTAACATTCAAAAGTCCAATTATTAAGAAAATTATTAAGAAAATCTGCTAATTGCAGCCCTATACTTGACCTTTTACCACTAATGTAACTATTGTAGATTGATTTTGTGTCTTATTCATCTTGAATGGGAAGTAAGTTTTACATTTTGTGTTAAGAGAAAGGGGCCAAATCTAACAACAGATTCAGCTGATTCGCAATCTGTAATTGCAACCGCTTGAAGTCAAAACTTACAGTAAGAATAGCACACAACATGAAAGCTTATATTGTGTGTTAGATGTTTGGAAAGTGCTTGAAAGTTTATGCTGACTGCAATAGTTGAAATGATGACAAGCCGAAATATTATATACCAGTTGTTACATGTTACTGATTTTAAGTAATTTCTTGTTATTTTTCGTATACTTTAAATACATTAGTGATAGTACTATAGTGAATTTTTCTACCATTTTTGTGGTTTTATTAATGGCTAACACAGGGTGGGTTTCATCTGTGTGTCTGTGTTTCTGACAAAACAAATAAACTAATCAATTGACATACTTTTAATATGCTAATATTTTGTTTAATGTTGATTAACTGCGAATTTTAGAACAGCTTTTCCTCTGACAGCTGAAAAACATCACCTATCTGCAGGTCCCTAACAGCACCATCTGTGACTGGTGAAGCATCCTTTCTGGTCCAACCATCACATCATGTTATAGCACTGATCTCTCTGGGTTGTAATTTACAATCTGTTGCACTTCTACCACTGAGAATTGTGGCCTGTTGCAGCGCTGAACAGCCAAAAGTTATGTAACACAGCAGTGTAGTTGAATTTCAACCTCAAGCTATCAATATGTGCAAACTTAAACACTACTTGGGTAACCACTACAAAACTATAAATGTACAGTGTACACCCAGTGAACACTGGAAGGAGGTTGCTTTCATTGAATGGACAAAATCAGGGTTTGGTGGTGAGCTGCATGGATTTTCTCCGTAGGATTTTGCATCCTGGCTGAACCCTCTGAGTCATAATAAATAGCTATTTTATAATAGTGGACAACAAACGTGAGGTCTGCTTCAGATTTTGAAAAGTGCTCTTGATGTTGAATTTATTTGGCTCTGTAGGGGGTATTATAAGAATTATATTGCTTAAATAACCTTGAATCTTGCCAGTGTTGCTCATGAGATAATAAAAGGAGTTATTTAAATGATGACTATGTTAATACCATAAGTATTTTCTGGGGCAACAGAGATTGTAGCTGGCGTTTGACTAAATTAAGTTTTGTTTGACTAATGTAGATTTTTATTTTGCTTGAAATGGGAAATTTGTGATTAAATCTCTATCTTTTACTTCGGCCATTGCCTTGCCAGCATTTTCAAATATTTTGTGTTTCCCTTTTAATCTTTAGGAGCCAGATTGTAAGTTTTAGCAGATGGGAAGACGATGGCACAGACAGAGCTAAACACACTTTTGTATAAGAAGACAAAGACAGGGAGCAGATGAATCTACAATAACAACAGCCTCCTGAAGTGAATAGATAGCACACACGCACACAGCTTTTCTGTGTTTAAACAAATTGTCAACTTAAGTTGTGCTGACAAGCGTTGGGTCTCAGCTGGCGAAGGCTGATTCTCTCATTGTTTTTCTGTAACACACTGGGGAGCAAATACATTAGCATGGCGACTAAAATACAGAATTAACCATGCAGGGATACTTTACCCGTAATCCCTCCAGATCTTCAAGGATTAGAGGTGTTCTTGATTTATTTGCTACGAGGTGGTCTGGGTAGAGAGAGAGCAGCTACAGGGTGAACATCTGAGTCACAGCAGGAAAATTAAATAACTCTGGTGTCGTTCCTGTGCTGGTGCTGTACAATCTGGGCCGTGTTAAAGGGGCAGTACACTCAAAATACATTAAAACCTACCACCTCTTTCCAGCTATCATGACATGGTTACCTGTAACAATCCACAGACCTTGTTGTTTTCTACTGACATTTGTGCACCAAGGAAGATGTGCAGAAGGAAGCTGTCTGGATGAAACAATTCACATTTTACTCACCAGCAAACAAATCCTGTCTACCAGGCACCAAAGCGTTTCACTGTTTGCAGTTAGCATAAAATTAAAATTGTCAATAGGGCTGAAACGATTAATCGATTAAATCAATTAATTCGGTTACTAAAGAATTTGTGTCGATGCTTCGTTCAATCCATATAACTATATGGCACACTGTTTCGCATGTACATTTATTACTATCGCACTCGCTTGCGCTGTGTGAACACGACGTGATTATGATGGCCCTGTTTGGAAGAGAGAGAAAACAGTGAGGGACGAAGAAGAAAGTGTCCAAAGTATGGGATTATTTCAAGCTAACCGCCAAGTAAAAGTACTTCTTAAACGATGAATCGATGCATCACGGTCATTGTTTGTGGAAGGACTGTTGAAAAATGAAAATGAAAATAGGTGCAGTTGCAGTTCGATTTACATAATGTGAAAACCCAAAAACAGGTAATGGGACCAAAGTCGATTTTCTTGCCAAATTTCGGCTCGTGTCTACGTTATCACTTGTAGGATTTAGGAGTGAGGATTAATTTACACACCCCTAATACCTTTTATCGTTCTTTGTCTGTAGGCAATCGAAACCAACCTGATGAGGAAGTCGAGCAGTGGCCTGACCTACATAGCGGAGTGGAAAGGGGGGTTGCTGGAGCATAAAATGGGTCACCTGACCTGTTTCGCAGGCGGCATGATCGCTCTGGGTGCTGATGGGGCGTCCGGCGACAAGACGGGCCACCAGATGGAGCAGGCTGCCGAGATCGCCCGGACCTGTCACGAGTCATACACTAGAACCGGTAAATATACACATGAAGACGATGAGCACTAAAATGATTCATGTTTTCCATTAGCGGTCACTCTTTAGTTGGATGCTTTTGAAGATAGTTCTAGTTTTTTATCATTTCCATCAAAATAAATCCTAAATTTACATGTATTAGTTTAAGAGAAGTGCTTTTAGTCTTATATAAAATTGTCAAAAAGTTGTCAAAGTGACAGCATCTTCTCTTCCAAAGCTTCGCTTGCATGCACTTGTCATTATTTTAAGCAGGAACCTCATTAGTCATTAGTGTTTATTCAAAGAAAAGTGGTCTTATTTAAAATAGTCTTATTTCAGTTTTTATTTTTAAACTTCAATTATATGATGATAATTATCTCCCTCATTTAAACCCATCCTCAAGTCGTATTATGAGTCACCGTGTTTTAAAGGCAGAACTGCAGAACCATTACATTTAAATAACATATTATTTCTTGGGTGATCATTGACCTGAAGTTTGTGACATTATTCTGCATTGCACCCATATACATAACTTAACATAACATTATGTACACATATGGGGAAACTCACAATTCTTTATTTCTTTAAGGTTATCTTCTTTCACTACACCTGCACACAGATAACATTATGTTTTGTTTTTCATACAATGGATATGTTTTATATATAGATAGACAGATAAAATAGGCTGGATGCAGATTTATGCCTACAATATATTTTCTCTCTCTCTCCTCTCTAGCGTTGAAGCTGGGTCCCGAGGCGTTTCGCTTCGATGGCGGGGTCGAGGCCATCGCCACCCGACAGAATGAGAAATACTTCATCCTCCGTCCCGAGGTCATAGAGACTTACATGTACATGTGGAGGTTCACCCACGACCCCAAATACAGGGACTGGGGCTGGGAGGCTGTTCAGGTAAAACATTTGTTAGGTGACTTTAAAAATACCATGTTGTCATATTGTATTCGGTTGGAAATTCAGACAAAGGTTTTCATCAGGGTTCGTACTGCACATGGAGTCCAGAGATATAAGAATTATAGGAAGGCAGCTTACAGAAGGTCAATTTATTTAACTTTATTTAACTAGCAAGTAAACCGCCCGGAGGTTTGGTGATATTTTAAGTACATAAAGAGTTTGATTGATGTCACCAGTCACTGACATCTTCCCTGTTTCTCCCTCCCTGTTTTGTGTCTCTATCACCGTCCCCCGTTCAGGCCTTGGAACAGCATTGTAGAGTAGAAGGAGGCTACAGCGGCGTCAGAGACGTCTACGCTTCAACTCCCAACCACGACGATGTACAACAGAGCTTCTACTTGGCCGAGACACTCAAGTAAGACAAACTGAACGCCTCCATACGCACACCCTTCACTTCTGTTCCTCTTATGATTGTGCTGTCATTGCACTTTATGGACGACAAGGCCCCTGCATCCCAAAACTGTCAAGTCTCTCACACACACACTTAGAGAAAGTATGATGTTGTCATTCATTCAAACTAAGCTCCAGAGAGTGGCTAAGGCCACTGGCAAGGTTACATCACTCACACAGACTTTTGCAGCTCTATGTTGATGATGGATGCGATATTAAGCTGAAACATGAGACAGAGATTGATAACAGAATGAAGGGTAAAAATGATTTGATCACAATCCAAATGTTTTGGCTTTTAGTCTCTTTAACATTCAGCATCTGACCAGAGGATTGGTGCCAAATTATTACCGCATCTGTGGTACACTGTAGCTCTGTCAGGCACATGCTGCCACTTAAGAACAGGATGTTAATCTTAATATACTTATTATTTTGTGTCACAATTAGTCCTTGTTGAAGATCAACTTTTAATCAGCGGTTTCCCGTGTGGGGTCGGGTTCCTGTCAAACAGTTAGAAGATCATTTTGAAGGATTGTGAAATGGTTAAAAACTAAAAACAACTCTGCTACACAACATTCTTGCCTTGCACATCTTTTTACTAGATAAAATGTCATTAAACCAAATCAAGAAGGTTATAAGAGGAAGGTGGTGGTGCCCTTAATCACATAGTAGACGTTGGAGACCTGACAGGAAGTGAGCTCCCTCCCTCCTTGGTCTTTGGACGTTCACATGGTTTTTAAACACCTAAACCACTGGGATGCTCCAACATTGTTTAATTTTAAGTGCTCCTAAACCAAAAGCACTGCTCAACATCATGAAAGTTTATTTTTGATATACTCATAGGTAGCTCTAACGCTACCCGTGCCTGAATAGATCCTAAATAGTATAATTAGTATAGTAGTAGTAGTAGTAAATAATTAGTAGAGTAAGACATGAACTGTGAAAGACACCACAGGCAGCTGCTTCTTCTCACTTCCATAATGGTCCTCTAATATTTTACTGCCTTTGTGTGCCTGTTTGAGATTGTATGTGTTAATGTGTGTGTGAGGGTGTGAACGTGCAGCTACAAGTGGCTCTTTAAATGTGTTTTCAGCCACACAGTGTGATGTCTGGTGGCTAATAGGGCTTTCCCTCTCAGATGGCTCTCCAACTGCGTTCAGGAAGACAGTCTGTTTAAACCATGACGAGAAATCCCCTCTACAGTTAAAACAAGTGTGACCGTGTGTGTAGTTGTGTATGAGTGTGTGTTTGTGGCTTCTTTGTGCGTCTACACATGCAATTAATTTTTGTATGTTATCCTGATTTCTCATATGTTGTTTGTATTGGAGCAGCCAACAAGGGCAAAGTAATAGCTGCCCAGATAAGTTTGTTTGTTTATTTATTTCAGGTTCAGCATTTTAGCTGATATTACAAGCCATAATTTAAAGCTCATATATTTAAAAGTAACAGATGTAAAGCTGCTATTTACTGGAAGTAATTACAATTACTATATAACTGGGAGACAAAGACAATCCTTCTTTTAATGGCTAAAGGCAAGAGGCTAAAACTTCCCACATTTTTGACCACAGCACAACATGAAAGCGTTAAAGGCAACGTGCCTGATGATTTTCAACAGTTTTTAAATTAAATATTGTTGTGCTGCAGAGATGTCTTGGCCTATATATCATAGTCTACAGGCTTAAGAAAAATCTTTGTTAGATACAGACCCTTGCAAAAATTGCACAATAATAATTCAAATATGTTTTTCAATTAAAATAATTAATAATAAAATGATCATCACCTCTGATGTTGGAAATCATATCGCAATTGCAATTACATATTTTTTCAAACTCGTTCAGCCCTAATTGTAAAGTACAGTTTTTTAGCTACATCAAAATAACAAGTACACATTTGGAATATTTGGTGTGGGGGTTGTTTTTTGGCATTAAAATTTTCATGTTGTTCATGAATTTAAAGTGTGATTAGGGCTGCATCTAACATCTTTTTTTATTAGCAATAAATCATTTGGTCTCAGTTTAGCAGAATAGAAGGTAACGTCTTCAAATGTCTTGTTTTTTTCCAACCAGAAGTCCAAAAATCAAAGAGATTTGCTTTTACAGACTAAGACAACCAGCAAGTTATAACATTTGGACCCAGAACAGAATCTGTAGCCAGTGGGTTTTTCTTACAGTTCAACAATTAATATCAAAATAGACTAAGATTAATGAGCTGTCACAAACGGATTCATAAAGTAGTTGTTTCAGCTCAAAATGTAATAATTTTCGAAGTAAGAGGGACAAATTTAATAATTATGTATAATTAAAATTATCGTCATTGTTACCATTATTTAATTATCATGATCACGATCACTTGGTGTGCTTTCTTCAGAGCTTGATGTTTTTTTTGTTTGATTTATTTGATAGCTAAAGCTTTCCCGTATGTTGGAAGTGGTGTTCAGTGTGTTGGTCATCTCATTAAAAAAAGCTTGGTTCCTATACTGGAGAATGTATTTATTTGTGAAGCAGTTCAGCAGTGGACCTCATTGATGCCATCAATTCTGCTGGATGGATTTGTGATGTAACAGCAAAGCCTCTGTACTCCTCGTTTTCCCACTCTTCCTCCAGAGTTATTCTCCTCTCTGTTTCCTCCACTTCCATCAACATTTTTATGCCCTCTCCTGCATCCTCTATCTCTCCCTCCCCCGTTCACTTCCTCCCCTCAACTTCTTCTGTCCACACACGCACACGCTAGACAGCTGTTGACAGGAAGTCAAGGTTACCCTAACAGAGCCTGATGGGAACAAGGTGCCATCCAATCCAGCTTTTTTATAGGCAGTAAATTTTAACAAGCATCACCTCCACTCGTGATTACACCACACACACACAAACACACTCAAAGTAAGATGTTTGGATTATTATTCCAGGTCCACCAGGTTGTGAAGATAGGAATGAAAGTGTGCTTTTTGTTTTGCTTGTTGATAAGTGACATGAGGAATAAACATGAAAAAGTAAAAATGAGAAATTAACATCTTTAAGGCATGATAAAAATATTTCCAGCAGAAGCAGCACAAAAAGAAAATGTCTCATTACCCTCCCACAGACTACTGGAGGAAAAATATTGAGTGTAATTGACCACCGGCCTGGACAGCAACACAATAATTACCTCATCAGTCAAGCCGCATCATATCCGTCATATCGGAGACGGACCTCACTGGACTCAGAAAATATCAATCCCATTTAGCAGCAAACCCATAAGTCTAATCCTCCTAATGTTACTCGGGGATCTTGGCATCGTGCAGAGCCACTTCCAGTATTCATCTTCCCACTGCTGCCAAGGACACGGCCATACTTCACACTGCTGTCTGCCTTCAATCACTCACTGCTTTCTAGTGGTTTGTTGCCAGGCGGAGGAGGACAAGGGGGCTTGTTGTGGAGGTTGAGGGCTTCGTGGACAGCCCGCTTCCCTGCTGAATCATTAGTTTCAGCTGACACATTTTTTTTTAATTGGCATTTTTCTGTTGCTGCATTCTCTAAATTTTAGCCTCTTTCTCCTGCATGAACACAGATTATCCTCTTTTTATCACTGTCCTAAATGAAACTTTATTTACTTACTGGTTGTATCACTCCTTTGATTTATAATGTTGTTTTGGGGTTGTTTCATAAGATCTGATGATATTGAACCGCAGAATTTCATCACTTCAGGTTTCATAAACTGGCCAGAGTCGCAGCCGTCTTTCCCTCTCGGTTCCACATCTGTTTCAGTAAATATTGCAAAAGCTGAACACAACTCAAAATAATATCTAAAACAGTAAACCATGTAGAGTCATCGTTAAAAAGACATGAAGACGGGAGTTTATTCAATTCAATTCAATTCAATTCAATTTTATTTATATAGCGCCAAATCACAACAACAGTTATCTCACAGCGCTTTTCATAAAAGAGCAGGTCTAGACCGTACTCTGTGATGATATTTACAGAAGCCCAACAGTTCCCACCAAGAGCAGCACTAGGCGACAGAGGCAAGGAAAAACTTCCTTTTAAGAGGCAGAAACCTCGAGCAGAACCATGGCTCAGGGTGGGCGGCCATCTGCCTCGACCGGTTGGGGTGAGAGAGAGAGAGAGAGAGAGAAAGAGAGAGAGAGAGTGAAAGAGAGAGAGAGAGAGAAAGAGAGAGAGAGAGAGAGAGGGATGTAAGGAGAGAGAGAGGGAGGGAGGCAGCCTACACAATATACACACAGAGGTACAGACAGCGAAGGTAATGTTGCTATAAACTAAATGAAAAATGGTACAGATATTTATAATAGTGTTAATGGTAACCATCGTAATGTTAATGATTATAATAACAATAAGACTAGCAACAATAGTCGTTGCAGTAGAGGGTGTCGAGCAGGAACACGGGGGCAGCAGGCGACCCGCAGCCACAGATCCAGACTCCACAGCTCCAGAGCCAGAAAACCTGCAGGAAGTGATAGGAGGAGAGAGGAGAGGGACGAGAAAGCACAAGACTACCAGAAAGGGGAGAAGTTGTGTTAGTAACATGCAATAATGGGATAAGGTTGCATACAGAGGGAGAGAAAGTAGAGGAGAGAGGAGCTCAGTGCATCATGGGAAATCCCCCGGCAGTCTAGGCCTATAGCAGCATAACTAAGGGATGGTTCAGGACTACCTGAGCCAGCCCTAACTATAAGCTTTATCAAAGAGGAAAGTCTTAAGCCTACTCTTAAATGTGGAGATGGTGTCTGCCTCCTGAACCCAAACTGGAACCTGGTTCCACAGGAGAGGAGCTTGATAGCTGAACGCTCTGGCTCCTAGTCTACTTTTGGAGACTCTAGGAACCACAAGTAACCCTGCATTCTGGGAGCGCAGTGCTCTGGTGGGGTAGTAAGGTACTATGAGCTCTTTAAGATAAGATGGTGCCTGACCATTAAGAGCTTTGTAGGTAAGAAGAATGATTTTAAATTCTATTCTGGATTTTACTGGAAGCCAATGCAAAGAAGCTAAAACAGGAGAAATGTGATCTCTTTTCCTGGTTCCTGTCAGAACACGTGCTGCAGCATTCTGGATCAGCTGAAGAGTCTTAATGGACTTTTTCGAGCAGCCTGATAATAAGGAATTGCAGTAATCCAGCCTAGAAGTAACAAATGCATGGACTAGTTTTTCTGCATCATTTTTAGACAGGATGTTCCTGATTTTCGCAATATTACGTAGGTGAAAAAAGGCGGTCCTTGAAATTTGCTTAATGTGGGACTTAAACGACATGTCCTGATCAAAGATAACTCCAAGATTCCTCACAGTGGTGCTGGAGGCCAAGGCGATGCCATCCAGGGAAACTATATCTTTAGATAATGCGTCACGGAGGTGCTTAGGCCCCAGAACAATAACTTCAGTTTTATCTGAGTTTAACATAAGAAAATTACAGCTCATCCAGGTTTTAACATCCTGAAGGCACATTTGAAGTTTAGCTAACTGATGAGTTTCATCTGGCTTGATCGATAGATATAACTGAGTATCATCTGCATAACAATGAAAGCTTATGGAATGTTTCCTGATAATATTGCCTAAAGGAAGCATATATAAAGTGAAGAGGATTGGTCCAAGGACAGATCCTTGAGGAACTCCATGAGTAACTTTGGCGTGCATGGAGGACTCATCGTTAACATGTACAAACTGAAATCGATCTGATAAATAGGACTTAAACCAGCTTAGAGCGGTTCCTTTAATGCCAATGAAATATTCCAGTCTCTGCAATAGGATCTGATGGTCAATGGTATCAAATGCAGCACTAAGATCTAATAAAACCAGTACAGAGACAAGTCCTTTGTCTGATGCAATAAGAAGGTCATTAGTAATTTTCACCAGTGCTGTCTCTGTGCTATGATGAGCTCTAAATCCTGACTGAAAATCCTCAAATAAACTATTGCTCTGTAGAAAGTCACACAGCTGTTTAGCAACTGCTTTCTCCAGAACCTTAGAGAGAAATGGAAGGTTAGATATAGGTCTATAGTTTGATAAAACATCCGGATCAAGTTTGGGCTTTTTCAGAAGAGGTTTAATTACAGCTACTTTAAAGTACTGTGGTACATAGCCTGTTGATAAAGATAGATTGATCATATCTAGTATAGAGGTGCTGACTAAGGGTAAAACATCTTTAAGCAGCCTAGTCGGGATGGGGTCTAAGAGGCAGGTTGATGGTTTAGATGAAGAAATTATTGAAGTTAGTTGGTAAAGATTGAGGGAAGCAAAACAGTCTAAACATGTATCTGGTTCTACAGCTGTTTCTAAGGTTCCTGAGTTAAGAGATAAGTCGGTGCCAGTTGAGGGCAGGTCTTGGTGAATTTTGTCTCTAATAGCTAGAATTTTATCATTAAAGAAGCTCATGAAGTCGTAACTACTGAGAGCTATGGGAATACTTGGCTCAATAGAGCTGTGACTCTCTGTCAGCCTGGCTACAGTGCTGAAAAGAAACCTGGGGTTGTTCCTATTTTCCTCTATTAATGACGAGTAGTACGCTGCTCTGGCATTACGGAGGGCCTTCCTATAAGTTTTAAGACTATCTTGCCAAATTAAACGAGAATTTTCCACTTTGGTGGAACGCCAATTCCTCTCAAGTTTCCGTGATATTTGCTTTAATTTGCGAGTTTCAGTATTATACCATGGAGCTAACCGTCTTTGTTTTAGTATTTTCTTTTTTAGAGGGGCTACAGAGTCGAGTGTCATTCGCAGCGAGCCAGCAGCACTATCAACAAGATGATCGATTTGGGAGGGACTGAAATTAGCATAGGAGTCCTCCGTTACTTTGTGACTAGATAATGTATTTAGAGCTGATGGAATCGCATCCTTAAATTTAGCTATAGCACTATCAGACAGACATCTTGTATAGAAATTTTTGCCCAATGGCGAGTAGTTCAGCAATACAAACTCAAAAGTTATCAAACAGTGGTCGGATAAAGAGGGATTCTGTGGGAACACCACTAAATGTTCAATTTCAATACCATACACCAAAACAAGGTCAAGGGTGTGGTTAAAACAGTGAGTCGGTTCATGAACACTCTGAGAGAAGCCGATGGAATCTAACAAAGAGATAAACGCAGTACTGAAGCTGTCATTCTCAACATCTACATGAATATTAAAATCCCCTACAATAATAACTTTGTCCGTTTTAAGGACTAAAGTTGACAAAAACTCTGCAAATTCAGATAAGAATTCAGAATACTTATGTAATATTTATGTAATCAAAAGGTTATTTTCATTGAAAGTTTTTATTGATAATTTGTCTGTACAGCAGATAATCAGGTGGAGCCTACAGCAGATTTACGATTGTGACTTTAATTGGATATTTTATTTAGTAAGGTCCACTTAAAAGCTTTCTCCAGAACTCCATCTGTTTTCATCGGTGGTTGTAGTTTGCTCAGTTGTCTACTATAGTACATATACACAATTCAGAGACATTAAAATTTGTCTTACATGTTTACTGTTTTTCTTTCCAATATTTTTATGTTCCCAAAATGTCACCTTGTTTTTTATCCACCATTTTGTGCTCATCAGTACTTTGTGGGCTGGTTCATATAATGTAGGTGTAGAAGCGTTGCATGCAAAAGGGCTGGGTGAGGCAGCAAAATACATACAGAGGGTGTGGTGATAAATACAATCTGAGTCAGACACATAGACGGCCTCATAGCTCTGAAACAGTGCAGCATGACAACAAGGACTCAACAAATGTAGAAGTGGCTACTCCAGGAAGTCTCGAAACTTTTCGATGCAGATTTAAATAAATCGTTTTGTGTTTAAAGCGAACTCCACCAATTTTACACATCAAAGTCTGTATACGGGTCTTGGGGAGTACTACTGTAAAGTGTAACAAAAGTGTTATAAAGCTTTTTGTGTCTCCTGAGGGAGCTACACACGATCTCATAAGTTGCCTCAAGTGATGTCACGCTGAAGACTACATGTTTTAAAATGAAAGAAATCTGGAGGTGTGGAGTTGGAAAGAAGTGACCTCACCTGACATCTGTAGCCGCTCCTCGTCTCTGCTGCAGGCTGGAGGCTACAAGAGCTGCTACGAGCATAGCACAGCCGAATCTCTTGAACAATCTGTTGGTGGTCGTGTTGCATTGTGGGTAATATATGCGCAAGTTTTTGACTGGAAGGAAGAATGTTTGGAATAAAAAAAGACGAGTTCAATCCCAAAATGAACGTTTCCTTGCAACGTTCCGCAACGGGCTTCGAGGTATGCTTGGTGTGTGTCACAGGTGTCACCCAATCAGCTGCGACAAGTATATAATCACAACCGTGTCAAAAAGGCAGGAAAATGCAGTGCGCTTGCATGCACAACAGGGTGTTCAAGTCACCACCGTTTCTGTTGAAAAAAATGTTTTGCTACATTTTGTCGGCGCTGAACTCGCCCGGTATCTTTTCTCGGTTCTGCTGCATCAATCTAGATCCTTTTTATGTAACTGCTAATCATGAGTCTGACAAAGTTACAGGAGTGCAAAGCTAAATCAGTGGTGTAGTCTTTTAAGCATTAAATTTGTACCACAGACATCATTTCTCAGTGTGACTTCCAGTTTCGACCAAAATACCCACAACTGGTTTATCTCAATCAAACTTGCACCCGAACAAACATAACAAATAACTGTTGAAATAAATTGCCTTTGTCTCCTCCAGGTATCTCTACCTGCTGTTCTCCGAGGACGACCACCTACCGTTCGACCACTGGGTCTTTAACACCGAGGCTCACCCTCTGCCCGTCATCAGGAAGGACAAAACAGACGGACCCAACGAAGTGGAGTAGTGGACCCTCCTGCGCTGAAACCCAAAACAAGTGCGAGCACCTCTGATCCTGTATACCTGAGCCTCCATCTGTCTGTCTGAAAGCAGTTTAGCCGTTTGGAGTCCCCAATGGTTGCAGACGCCTCTTGATTGGATTTCACTCTTTATTTCTAATGGGATCCAAATAGAATTCAAGTCTGTTGGCGCTGAATTCTTGCTGTAGAATCCAGTTTTGTTTTTTGCTTTAGTTTTTTCTCTTTTAGCGATTCAACTCGGGTTGAGTCCAGACGCTGACCTGAACCAACATTTTTGCTACCTGATAATGTAATAAGTCATCAAAAGGATGCAGTGAAATCATCAGAGAAGTAATATTCTTGAATTATAAAATACTCTCTGAAGATCTCATTACATTAAATTGGCAGTTTATTTCACTACCAGGTTTTTTTTTTTTTACACATTCAGAGGGACAGTCTGACCACATGATTCATCAGTGATTTTGTTGTTTGTAGCTACAGCTCTGACTGTTTTGTTTTTGTGAAAGAGAACACTGACAGACCCGAACCAGTAGTCTCCCCTAATGTGGATATTTTGGACCTGAGCTTTGGGCACCAAACTCTCTGAGTCTGAGGGTTACAAGACTGACTTAGCGAGCTAAAAGACGCTCCGTTCACTTCACATGCGTCGTCTTTTAACTTCCGCTGTACCGCTTCATAATAACTCAATAGGAACCAGATTCTCTGCGCCAACGCTGGTGCCGCCGCCACCACCACCCCAACTTCTGCATCGTCTTCAGAGAAGCATGTGGTGGTCTCTGTGGGAGTAAAGGAAAGCCGCAGCACAACCCAAGCCTCTTTTTCTAAACCCACAGTACTTTTAGACCCCGCCCCCTTTCCTCCCTCTCAGCTAGGTGTGACACAGGACAACCAGCCACACCAGCTCTCTACCTGCCAGTAAATTCACTTTCTCACGACGTTTACACAAAGCTGTCTCCTCTTCTTCTTCTGCTTGTCTCATCCTTAGTTCATCTGTATCTTTTTGGATTCTGCATTAGTTTTTCTTTCTCCTGTTTGCACTGATATTTCTGGGGTTTGACCGATACAGGTTTTTTCATAGCTGATGACTTCTCAGTTTAAACTGACAGCCAACATGTTTGCAGTTTTACACTCAGTATTTTATTTGTTGCTAAATCAATGATTCCCAGGTTGTGAAAGTAAAAGATGCCATTGTCTGAGCAAAAGAAATAGAAAATATGTTACCCCAAGGTAACAAGGTCTCAACCACATTTCATGGTCAATTCATGGTGAATTTCATAGTGAATTGTTTTTAAATTAATTACTTATTTTCCGACAAACAATCTAGAAAAGCCTTCACACTAAATATTATTGTGGGGTTTAGGTCTCTTGAAATGAAGGAATGTGATCTTATTTCCTTCTTTTGGTGTCTTGATGTTCCACAAACAGCTTCTGCAGATGTTAATGTCCTTACATGTTTAATATTTGCATGCATAAGAACAGAATCTTTAGACCCCGGGACACTAAAAGTCTTCACTAAAGAGGATATTTATTGATTTATCTTCAGCAAACCTGTGTGTCGGTCGAACCCTCTTTTTGTTGTTGTATCGCTGCTTCATATCTCCATCCTCCACCTCCAGAGTAGTGCAGGCTGAAGGATCTTCTCTCCTCTATGAGGAGACGTGGACACCGGACTTTGCTGTAATATTTCTTCTTCAAACACACACAGAAACACTCACACAGAAACACTCACACACAAGAAGCCATACTGATTCAATACAGCTTTACCATTCTGTCTTGGAGACTTTCATTCCCTTCATCCTCCACTTACGGGGGATGAAGCGCAAACTGTGTTGCTGTTATTGTACATTTTATGTTCAGCGAGAGCTCAACTCATCTAACTTGGTGGTTTAGTTGGAATTTATGGTAAAGATTTCTCCTGACACCACACAGAACTGTAGCCAGATAAAATCCAGTTTAGTCTTCAATCTAGTGCCTTCACCGTTGAGTCAGAGGGAAAAGCAGCTCACGCAAACACAAAAGAGACGTTTTAAATAGTCGTAGAGCTTTAAGTTACCATGTCTCAGATGAGGATTATACCAAAACTAGTCTCTGATTAAAGGATAATTCCTGCTTTATAATTTGAAAGTTGCCCAAGAGTAGGTGAAAACTTGACTTCTTTGTGACAAGTGGGAGATCAGAACAGTAAATCTGAGGGTCACATTTAATTACTTCAAAATTAGAATAATGTGCTTATACTATTCTTTCTCTGGAGTCCTAGTTTGGCGAACAGTGCTGTCAGGACCCAGTCACCAGTTACTTCCTTGACTACACTGACATCTACTGGTGAGATTTTCCCATTACAGTCCACAGGAGACCTGGAATAAATGTCTGGAGTCTGAAAAGTCAACAATTCCTCGCTTTTACACACATGATTCTCACCGTTTGAAAAACGTCTTGCTTCAAAATGTTGACTGACAATGTTATTGACAAGGGGGCTTCCATAATAAAGATCAGAATAGCTCATGAAAGAAGGTAAAATCTTTTAATTGAAGTTTTGAAAAGAAAAATCCACCAAACTTGAATCTTTAAAATAATATATTTTGGCTTTATTGAACCTCTGATGGATAGAAACTGTAGCTTTGGTTGATTGAAGGCACTTCAGTCATTTACCTCTGCAGGTATTCATTAGTATGAGCCTTTATCTTATATATTTGAATGTGAGACACAGAGAGGTTGTGCATAATAACTCTGCCCACGTTCGGCTCTCCCAGCGCACAAATGAGCTTTAAACCGTCTTAAGTGTCACTGGGAGATCTGGCAGATGGGAAGTCATTATAAAGTTCAGTCAACAAAGTTCAGTCAACAACAGCGTCACTGTCTGAAACACGTTACTGAAGTAGATTAATTTATTTCAGCTGACTGAACTGAGTGACAGTTTCAACCACAACCGGAGGTTCTTCTCAGCAGGTTTAAAGACATTTGGCCCCGGCATCGCAGAGCAGGAGACTGACACTGACTGAAACACTGACTGAGATTTCACAGCAGTCTTTAAAGGAAAAGTTTTTGGGGAAGTATACTTGATGCTGTCTTCAACAAAAAAAAAATACCCAGATGTATTTATAAGTTTCCACATTTTATGTTTGCACTAAATAACAACAAGAAGAGTTCATAAAAAAAAACTTTAGATTTATAGAAACTAAAGAAATAAAAACGCAAATGAGCTCCTGATTTTGCTTCACAGTCCTTCTGAGCATGTTGGAAAAGCAAGAAATAGATAAACTACAACGTGTTTGTGCTGCAAATGACATTTTTTAATCGCAGGTGATGTTTTTTTTTTTATTCGAAATTTTCCCTAAATTCTCTAATTTTACTCATTTCTTAAAAAGTTTAAATAAAGAATTCACCCTGCTACGTAATGACCAATGCTGACATATCAGTCAGAAGGCCTTCACGGTCATATAGTGCTGAGTTTCTGAGCTGCGAGAAATCCTTCCATGGTCTTTTTTTAATCATTGTACAGACGACAGTGTCTTCGTGTTTAATCTGTGTTTTGTTTAGTTAGACTTGGTTCAGAGGCTTTTTATAATCCATGTGATGTTGTATCGTAATGGTTGATTTTGATCATTGTGTTAATTTATTCTGTAGTGGGGGGGGAGTTTGGAGCTGACCCCCAGGTGAGGCTTTGGGTGTAGTGGTTCGTGACTGGACCCGAAATACGGAGCTCACAACTTTTTGTGGGTATTTGCATATTTATCTACCAAAAACAAAACAAAAAAGACACCCTGAAGTGACGTCGGTAAAGAAATTAAAAGGTCCTGTAGGTCTTGCATTTTTACACCACAGAATATATCACCAGTGAATAATTGGTGTTTTAAAAATGCTACACGTGGTACCTTTTTAAAGTTTGCGATGGCAGAAAAATGTGTTTTAATGCCAGAAAGAGGGGCAAAGAAACCACCTGGGAGGGCATGAGTCGTATGAATGTACCATCCAATGTGAAGTGAAGAATATTTGATATTAATTTTTTTGTCTTAGTGTGTTCACTTCTCTTTGCTTTTGTTGTTGTTTTTTTATTTTCATTTATCTTGGAAAGCACAAAAAGTGGAAGCAATGTGTGCAGCCAGAGAAAAGTCTGCAGTTTCTTGAGTGTGATGATGGGCCTGTTCGTGACTGACGGCTGTTCAGTGCAGCAACGACATGCCGATAATATAGGAAATTACCTAGACCTGCTACATGGGGTTAGGGGATCGTTTTTATTGTTTTCATTTGTTCATCTGAGGATCTGACACATGGATATACTGGAATATTCAGCATAATATAGTATAAACCAGATCTATTTGAGTGTTAAGACACAGTTGCTTGATATGAATAAAAAGAAAAAGATTTTCTTTGTCAGAAACTTGACTCTTAAACTAAGATTGGAGATTTGAAGTACTCTGTAGTCATTTAACTTCTGTTTATGGATCCCATAGTAACATAAATCTGTTTCCTTCCATTCCTACCATCATCAGACAAGTCAGGATGTATGTGTTCACCTTGTAAGGCCAGAGAACGCTTTTAATGAAGAAAATCGATCTAAAAAACAGTGCTATAATGTAGCTCAGTGTCATTTATGACACTTTAATGATTTTAATTATTGGTTAATACTGAGCTGGTGACCAATGAAAACGACTTTCCTATTTAAGGCATCAGCTAAGCTTATGAGCTCATGCCATGCTAGTTTTTATTCAGGCATTAAAATGAAAACTTCATATGATATACTGCTGCGTTTAATGCTCTGTCAGTGGTGTTTGAGTGTGTTTTAGTTGGTAGTGAACACAGAACGGCGTGTGGAAATGGAGTCGACCACAGGTTGGTAGTGTTCCTTCCTTAAGCTATAAATGAACTCCATTCAGAACTTCATTTAAAAATATATCTATTTTAGGCTACATTGCAAGAGTGAGATATTGTTGCTGCCTGGTTTTGATTGGAGTCAAACATTATTAATTCTGATTATATTTGTCCGGTTACAGATCAATCTTGGATTCTTACAAAGGTTTTTATAATGGTGGGGTTATATCTGCTTTTTTGTTTTTACCTACAAATAAGCATGATGGTGTAAGTTAGTCATTTTTACGGTCATTTGAATGAATTTCCTTGTAGAGGATTTAGTTCAGTCATTCTCCCCATGTTAAGATTTATTAGTGCAATCCTTCAGTCTGAAATTTTATTTTCATTGCATTTTGGGAGGAAATAAACACGTTAAAGTAACTGTTTGTAGACTTGCAACCCTGTATTTTGAAATTTTGGAGGCTTAGAAACATCAGTCAGGTTATTGACATGTAATTTAGACTTTAAGGGCTGATTTACTGCATTTTCCCCAGTAGGAAGTCATAATGTTAAGACAAAGCTGGGCCCTACATTAGGTTGGATTTACATCTGTAGGTGCCCTCCTGGATTTTCACTCGTGACAGGTATCTGGTCGTTTCTCCACCTGAATAGGAAGGAAATGCAGAATGTATTTGCTTTTTCACGTGAGCCGTAAGTGTAAGGTCAGCTTCACATAGTGTGTCATCAGGCATCTGCTCATTTCCATATGCAGACTTTATTTGTATTTTTTATTTTCTGAAAAGGTTGAATTGTTTTTGGTGATTTTCTGAATATTGTGTTGACGATCTGTTGTGTTCCAGTACTTTTCTATTGGTGAATATAAAGGGGAACGCCACCTTTTTTAGGGATTCAAAATTCCTTGTGAAAATGCACCACTTTTCCCTAAAGAAGCTTCTAATTTATCACACTGAAATCATTACTGTTCTTCACAAGCACGATCACTGAAATATGGCTGATCGGACTCAAGATACAAGAATCTTTAAAATGACTGGCGTTGCCCTTTAAAAGGTTTAAATGCGTGAAACCAACCTCAGAAATGTATCTGTACAAAATATTGCTGATAATCATTCCATTGCACATAGTTTACTTTGCGTTTATATGCAATGTTTTAATTTTGTGGGGAAATTTGTTTTATTGTGTTAATATTATTGAAAAAAAAATGTAAATATTCCATTCTGGCAGATGAGCCGTTCTACATTTATATAAAAATCTTCTGAGCTTATGGATTAAAATGATATTAATAAGCAGCAGACTTTTTAATAAACTATATTTGTTACACTTCTATTGTGAATAAAAAAATCTTTTAATAACTGGTGGTTTTGAATTTGTGTTGTGTGTTTCTAAAGTCTTTTCAACTAGCAGAGCCTTAATAATTTATACATTACTACGTTCAGACATTGATGTAATGTCCTTAAAACAAGTCTAAATGAGGCTCAGTAGTGTGTGTGGCCTCCACGTGCCTGTATGACCTCCCTACAACGCCTGGGCTCCTGATGAGGTGGCGGATGGTCTCCTGAGGGATCTCCTCCCAGACCTGGACTAAAGCATCCGCCAACTCCTGGACAGTCTGTGGTGCAACGTGGCGTTGGTGGATGGAGCGAGACATGATTGTCCCAGATGTGCTCAATTGGATTCAGGTCTGGGGAACGGGCGGGCCAGTCCATAGCATCAATGTCTTCCTCTTGCAGGAACTGCTGACACACTCCAGCCACATGAGGTCTAGCGTTGTCTTGCATTAGGAGGAACTCAGGGCCAACTGCACCAGCATATGGTCTCACAAGGGGTCTGAGGATCTCTACCTAATGGCAGTCAGGCTACCTCTGGCGAGCACATGGAGGGCTGTGCGGCCCCCTAAAGAAATGCCACACCATTACTGACCCACCGCCAAACCGGTCATGCTGGAGGATGTTGCAGGCAGCAG